GGTAGGGCTGGTGGTGGCTTCTTCTCCTCTTCCTGGGTGACCGTTGTGGTGGTGGCGGCGGTGGTGCTGGCAGCAGTGGTGGTTGAGGCTGTGTCAGTGGGGAATGGAGGCTGCAGAGATGCGAAGGGCTCCTTTAGTGGGGGCGGAGGACCCACGCCTGACTCCTGTTGTTGCTGCTCCTCCTCTTTTCGAATTGATTCATCCAGCATCTTCATGATGTTGGCCAGCCCATCAGGTAGGATCTTGAATTCAGCTGGCTCCTCAAACTGGTCCTCCAGCGGGGTAGGGGGAAAATCAAACAGTCGTGGGCCCCGGGCAGGCAACTCTCCCACCCCGGACGGCACAGGCTGAGGGGCTTTACTCAGGGGGCCTGGGGATGGCCCCGGCCCCACCTCGGGGGTCTTTGGGAAGGAGACCCTGGACCGGGGGCTCTCCGGGCGCCTGAAGCTTCCTGAGGTATTTTGGTGGCAGGAGGAGGGAGGGGCTGGGGGCAGGGCAATAGTCAGGGGTGCAAGAGGCGGGTCCTGGGGGCTCAGTGTTGGGCTAGAGGGCCGGGGAAGGGGGTCCATACTTCTGGCCAGATAGGGAGGTGGGGGGAAGGACACAGGCCCAGTAGGGCTGCTGCTGTGGCTGCCACTGCTGCTGCTGCTACTGCTGGTGGTTGGGGGAGTGGGAGGGGTGTGTGAATCCTGAGTGCCCACAGAAAAGCGGGGGGCCAGAGGCCCCAAGAAGCCCTCGCGGTGGGGGAGAGGTGCTGGGGGAGGACGGGGGGGTCCCTCAGCCCCGAAGAAGAGTTCCTCTAAGATCTCGCCATCCTCTCGGGCTACCCGGCAGGCTGGGCCCTTCAGCCAGGCAGAGGGTGGCGGGGGACGTAAGAGACGGGGACAGGGGGGTGGAGGGGTTGAGGGGGGTCCAGGTGGCAGGGACAGGTGGGGAGTGGCAGCAGGAGCCGCCAAGAACGGTTTCCGACTGCTGTGTGCCGAGGGCCCCAGGCGGCCCTGGTGAGAGGAGACCTCCAGCGCGGGAGTTTGGTAATGGTCACTGCCGGGCTGCAAGTGTAGGATGGGGCAGTCAGAGTCCTGCTCTGGCCACCTCAGACAAATTCCACTGATTCCTCCCTTCCACCCTCCACCTGCGGTTGTCACTCACAATGCCTGGGCTCGGCTCCATGCCCCGGAGACCGGTGTTGCTGCTGCTGCTGCTACTGCTGGTGGTGGTGGTGCCAGGGAGGCCAGGGGGCCGGGAAGGGGCATAAGGCACGCAGGCGGTGGTTGCTGCTGGTGAAACACTGGAGTCCATCCGCGACCTCTGAACTCTGCTCTCTCTAAGGTCACTTCCGGGGGGACGGGTAGCAGGCAGGCAGCCATGGCTCTCTGCTCCTGGGGGGCGGGGGCCTGGGGGTGCAGCCGGGACCAGCCGGTGGCTGGGGGGGTGCGCAGTGTAGGCTGGAGCTGGGTATGGGTATGGGTGAGGCAGTGAGTGCCGCTGGTCCTATGGGAGATAAACGATGACAAAGGGTGAGAGATGGAGGGCATGGGACTTGAAGGTAAGAGGTGGGAGGCAACAGAGAGAGGCTCACCTGGCGCTCTGGGGGTGCTGAACACTTGCGCTCGGGGCCCCAGGCATCTCCGTGCAGGGTACTCCACAGCCCTGGCTTGGTCAGCTGAAATGGGGAGCTGGTGGCCAGGCCAGGAAGTGGGGGTGGTGGTGGTGGTGGTAATGGTGGCGGAGGCAGTGGCAGCCCTGGGGGAAGGCCGGTCTAGAAGAGAAAAGGGTGTTAGAATCCCACTCCTTGTCCCAGTCCTGTTCACTCATTGCCTGCTGACCCACTTACAACCACACCTGTTCAGAGTTGCAGCCTCTCCTGCGCTTGCCTCCAGGGCTGACGCCCTCCTCTCCCGAGGGGCCTGAGAGTGCTGCAGGAGGCACAGGCTGCACTACTGGAGGTTCTGCAGCTCGCTTCACCGGGGGACCCCCCCGCTTGGCCCCATAGTTCCGCTTGTGCTGAGGACAAAAAGAGAGGAGTGAGAATGGCTCAGGTGCAGGCCTAGTCTGGCCCTCCTCCCTGGCCCACCCAGCTCCAGCCTCACCTCAAGGTGCAGCAAGTTCCACACTTGCTCCAGGGGGGGCAGTACCTTGGCTCGGTGCTGGCAGGAGCCAGCATGGAAGTTCCAGAGCTGGGCCTTGGGGTGGGGAGGGAGACATAAGGCAGGGGCAGACATAAGGCGGGTGTACTAAGCCAGAAGGCACCCCTATATCCTGCCTCATCCCACCTGCTGCAGTCGGCCAATGCGGGGCCCCAGTTCAGCGAAGACTCCTCCATATCGAAGGGCGCTGTGGTAACAGCGTATGGCCTCTTCACTGTCGTGCTCTGACTCGTACAGCTGCCCAAGCTGTTCCCACAGCCCTGGCTGGGCCGGCTCCCGAAGCAATGCCTGCACACATCCATGCAGGGATTCTAGCTTCCCATGGAGGGGTCTTGGGGTGGGGGTCCTACAAAGTAAAGGGGATGGGGGGGTCAGGCTTGGGGATATTATTTCAAGGCCCCAGCCTTACCTCACACCCCCAGAAGCTTTGAATTCCCCACTCACCCTGGAGCATAATATGGTTTGTTGGGGTGCCCAGAGCTATTGCCATGTGAAGGGGGTAGGGGAGCAGCGAGTGGGGGCTGCCCGATGCTGGCCGAGCATCTGGAGAGAAAAGGAATCTGTTAAGCGCGGCAAGAAGGAACAGTCTTGTACTTACCTAGGAAGGAGAGAACTGAGGGAATAAAAGAAAGTAGCTAAGAACTGCACAGAGGCCCACAGAATAGCAGAAACCCATTGAGAATGACACAGAGATTGAGGGGTACAGAAGATGAGATGACAATGCCTGGAGACAGAGGAAGAGATGGCCCAAGTTCTCACCTGCCTCCAGGCAGCCATGCGCTACGAGGAGGGGGATGGGGCGGGCAGGGGCTCCAGGCCCCAGCACAGCTCAGGCCCCCAAGGGCAAAGGCTTCCCGTGCAGCGCGGGCCCCTGGAGGGTCCACTGCCCGATGCATCCAGCCTGGGTTGGGGATAAGAGATTATGCCCTTACTGGGGGCAAGACCAGAGCTGCCAGTGTACACCCAGTCAACCCAGCCCCAGTCTTTCCCTTACCAGGTCAGCAGTGGCCCCAGGAGCCCTGGAGATCGGGCACGGCCCCCTGCCCCAGCTCTGTGGGACGACGGTCGGGCTCCGGCCGCTCTGACGACAGTGCCCAATGACCCCAGATGGCCGCCTGGGGCCGTTCACAGCCAATTCTACAGAGAGAAAGAGGAAAAGGAGTGAGGTGAGATGACCAGCACACAGTCAGGGCCCGAAGGCTGGGCTGGGCTGGCAGTGGCACACACAGGTCTGTCATTTGTGCAGAGAGCCCGGCCTTGGCTTTCCTCGAGGGGAGGCCTTCCTGGCCTAAGGAGCCCTTAGAAGCCCAGGAGAGTGGCAGGGAGCCAGAGGGCCAGTCGGAGGGACCGAGTGGCTCCGCTGCCAGGCCTCCAGTCTGGAGCCCCGTGGACCAGACCGCACCGCTGCCGCTGCCGCTTACCCGGTCTCCGTGGGAGCGCCCTCTCTCCGCGTCGGCGAGCTCCAGAGACCGGGCCAATCACAGGACTTCCCCTCTGCCCAGAAAGCCAGTCATCACCCGTGTCTCCGCCTCAGTAACAGCCTGGCAGGAACCAATAGGAGCGAGCTTACCCCGGCTGCCGGGAAGGAGGGGCGGGAGAGCCGGTCAGACGGGCTCGGCCCGGGGTGACCCCGATGTGACCCCGCGGCTCCCACCTAGGGTCCCCATCTTGGACCTGACACCCGGGCCAGCAGGGCAAGAGGACCAAGCTGGGCGGCAGGACAGGACCCGTGCGGGTGAGGGCAATGAGTCGCACGCTCGGGTCCGCCTGGGGGATGGCGCTACCGCCAGCTTCTCTCACCCACAGAGCCGCTGGTGGTCCCGGCCAGACCACTCGAATCGCCCCCTGCCTGGCCACCGCAAGACCGAGACCTGCAGATGGATGCGGGACGCAAATACGTCCCTTCCCTTCCTCACTTCTCCTCGCCCAGTGACTGCCGTCTCCACCCCGAGCGCCCCTTAGAACTGCTTAGGGCTAGCTGGGCACTTCTGCGGCACCCGAATCCGCCCGCGCCGCTACCATAGCGCTCCACCCGCAACGCCTGACCCCGTCCCAAACCAGTTACGGTTAAGTCCCCAGCCTTGTATCCAGTTCCTCCAGCTCCTCCACTTGCCCAGGCTCTCTGGGTCTTCAGTATCGACCGACCCCCAAAACCAAACCCCCCATGAATCCCCCAACTTCTGAGAAGTCGCGCACCGCAGTCCCGCGTGGCCCTTCTCGCATGGCTCCCGTATCCTCTATGCCCTTCCCCGCCGGGGCCACGCGGTTCCCCACGGCCCACGTGGCCCCCGCCCCCCAAGGGAGGGGGGATTTCGGGGGTTGCCCGTGACGTGGCTACTTGCGCAGCGGAAGCGGTGTGTGTAAGTGTACGGGCTGGGGGGGTCCTGCGGGAGGGAGGAGGGCGGGGCCCGAGAGGCAGTGACATCACTCTTGTCCCACTCTCACCGCCCACTCCCTTAAAGAACCCAGAACCCGTTTCGTTTCCTCCTTCACGTCCTCCCCCCCCCCCCTCCCCCCCCCCC